TGTGTCTGCAGGGAATGTATTTGAGAGCCCAGAAATGGGCATCCCACCCACTCCCCCTGTGGAAGTGAGGCTTCTCCAGGGCTGGGGGCTAGTCCTGTACTGGGACAGGCCCATGCACAGAAGGGGAGATTCACATCACATCAGTAGGGTTGGGTGGAGGAGGATGGCCTCCTCTGGGCGCTGCGAGCTGGCTGTTCCAGGCGCAGGCTGTGCCGAAGCCAGCAGGCAGTCCCTGAGAGCATCGTGAGAACGGAATTGGACTAGTGAGCTACAGGGCCAAGGTGCTAACCACACAGCCGAGCTGGGGATGCCACTAGGCAGTGGGTGCTGTGCCTCAAACAGGGACACCTGGAGGGAGGGGTTGGCTGACCAGCTCCAACACCCATGCCAACACCGTGAGCTGGGGTGGCACTGGCATGACCGTCACATTGCTGGCATCCGGCAGTGACCTGGCTGTGTTCTCAGCCAGTGGCCACAGAAACTGAGTGGGAGGGCATAGGCGCTGTCATGGGCAGCCACTGTGTGGTTCTTCACCATGGACAGAACTGAGTGAGGCCAACGGGGCTTGGGTCCTGTCCTGTCTGACTATCCCCTTCATGCCAGAACAGGGGAGAGAAGAGTCTGAGAACAAGCAGGGTTGGGGTGAAAAGGTCATTAGGAGTAATAAAGGGATCATTAAATTGGAGAGAGGTTAAAGGTGAAGGGCTGGTTAGTGGTGAAGGCACTGGATCTGGTGCCACTGGGGTGCTGCGGAAACCACGGCACAGGGCCACACACAGGAAGTGGCGAGGGTGGGGCCCCTGCAGGACCCCATGGGCTCTGCTATGCTCTGTGCGCCCCAATCACTGACACCCACACAGCCGTTTCCTGAGCTTGAAAAAAATCTGTTTCTCTCTTTGCAAATCAACAACTTTTACCTAGAAACTACTCCGCGGTAAGTGCTGACTGATTCCAATCTATTGTCCGTTACAGAAAACACACCGCTGTGTACCTGTGTGTGCGCTCAAATGCATGAGCTCCAACCGGCAGGGTTCGGAGCTGACTGACACCAGTTCGCGGCTCACCTGCTCGTTAGTCAGTATCCTGAAAGCCACACCAGCTGTCGCCGAGTTGACCCCATGAGAGTCAGAGTATACTCCTAGGGTTTTCAATGGCTCCTGTTTGAGAAGCAGATGGCCCTTGGGTGCACTCAGACCTGCAAACAGTCACCATCTGCACCATCTGGGACACCAGCACTATATCACCTTTCTAGACAAGCCCTTTGAGCACTGAGACTCTAATGACAGTCAAGACTCTGCTTCTCGAACCACGGTTCCCACAACCACCAGCGTCTCCTGGCTGGGGTCAGAACAATGTAAAAGTCACACATGTGGACAACTCTGGAGGGGACTCAGCAAGACTCAATGTATGTCAATTACACCTCCTTCAGGATCAAAAGGCAAAGTGAAGCTGGCTGTCACTGCCACGGAACACCCTCTATCAAGCGGGAGGGGATCTCAACTACCATGCATGTGTCTTAGCCCCAATTCCACACCAGCTGAACTCTCTGAAAGGGCCTCAACCCAAGGCACATAAAACACTGGCTCCATCAGCCTTGCCTTCCCCCGTTACAGACGGTATTGTGTCCCCCAAAGTAAGCCCAACTCCATCACTATGGCTGAGATCCCATTTGGGAAAAGGGTGTCTTTGCTGTGTTGATGAAATTGGATCAGTGTAGGGTGTGTCTTACGCCAATCACTTCTGAGACTAAAAGGAGACGCTGTGGCACAGACACAAGTACAAATTGGAAGAGAGAGAACCCAAGTAGAGATTGCCAAGGAGCCCAGGAAGCGGGGCTACAGAAGTTGAGACAAGGACCTTCCTCATGGCCGACAGAGACAGAGACAGAGAGAGAAAAATAGAGAGAGAGAGAGAGCCTTCCTCTAGGGCTGGCGCCTCCTGAACTGTGAGAACATAAATGTGTTCATTACAACCGCCCACTTGTGGTATTTCTGTTACAGCAGCTCTAGGGAACTAGGACACCCAGGAAACTTACTGGGGGTCCAGGAGCCTATGCCTGGTCCCCTGGCTGCTGGGTCTCCTCCTGGACTGTGTCCCAGTAGGCATTAGGGGAGCAACTGCTATGTGAGGTACAGGATACATAGTCCCAAGAGGCTACGGAGGTCTTGGCTTACAGCAAGGTGAAGCTGCTGACCCCCAGCTCTGCAGGGACAGTGGTGGGTCTGAAATTTGGCCTGAATCCTTGGTCCCCAGTACATACTAGCTGGTCAGGGAGTCACCTAGACTCCGACTGAAGCTAGGGAGGTGGCATCCAATCCATCTTCCTGATCACACAAATTGTGCCAGTTCCAAGCTCAGGGCCTAGCAGGCCAGCCCTGGACAGAAACAAAGCAGTGCTGGATGTGGTTCATACGCAGGACTAGAAGGACCCTCACCCTGAAACCACAAAATGCAGAGATGATTCAGCTCAAAGGTTACAAGGAAAACCATCACCACTGCTCAAGCTGATGTCTCCATACATCACGACCTCCCATAGGGCTGAGGAACTTCCCAGCAATAGGACTGACACCCACCCAACAGTGCCCTGGGGCCACAAAATCCTCTGAATTGCCGAGCTGGCATTATTGATTCGTCCACACAGTAGGGCAGTGGGGGACGAAGGCATGGCCCTCACTCTCAAATCATCCAACATTGTTTTTTTTACCACCACTGAATGTCAGTTTGTCATACTGTGGTGACATAAGTGCTGCTGGAAGCTATGCCAATGGTATTTCAAATGCCACCCATGGGGGACAGGTGTCATACTGAGACAGACTAGGAAGAAAGGTCTGGCAACCAACATTCAAAAACTGGTCAACGAAAACGCTATGGAGCACAGAATATTATCTGAGACTCTGACTGGCTTACTTGGGTGGGTCACACCATCGGGAGGGACCACCTGCTGTAGGAAGACACCATGTTTGGCCAGCAGAGGCACGGAAGAGCCTCCATGGGATGGAATGACAGTGGTCACAACAGACTACACAGGCCAACAATCATGAAGACGGCATAGCACCAGGGAGCCATCATGTGTCAGAATCAACTGGATATTTTCTGAAAACAACTAGGACATCTTACTGGCTGCCTCCCATCTCCGAGAGCTGAGACGTAAGGAGAAGGCCATGGTCTTCATCATGCACACTGAGCAGGGCTTCTTTCACGCCCTCCGCCCTTGCTGGTGACCAGAGACCCATCGAGAGCCCGTGGGTCTCAGGTGTGCACAGGTAGGCGGACACCTTCCTCAGAGCCCCCAGAAGCCAAAGCTCCCCACCAGACGCCATTCACCAAGCTTCTCGCGTCAGCAGGGTTAGGGCGCAGCTCCACAGCAGGCCTGTTAGTGGTTATATGAAACTGCAGACTGGCTGTAAAGGCACAGACACGGCACCCCCACCCCACAGTGTGGACCTACCGCCCAACAGGGAGTACAGTGCAGTGCTGTGCTGTCCAGCCATTTCTTCTGGAAAAAGGAGACCAAAGGAGACATTTAAGCCCAGTACAAGGACAGGCCACCACGGCCACCACCCACAGACAAACAGCATGCACAGGCATGGGCCCGACTCTCCAGTCTGACCTGCCCTGCAAGGGGACTGTGGAGGCTGCTCTCCCACCAGCCCTGCCCACCGCATGAGTCCCAGGTGAAACCACAGCTGTGTAGGGGGCTTCTGTTTGCACAGGCAGTCCTGGTCACCCACTGGCAGAGGGAAAGTGGAGGGAGGTCTTAGCAAGCCTCTATGGAGCCAGGGCACTGACCTAGCCTGGGAATCCCAGGTGTGGGCAGCACCTTTCAGAGGTAACCCTCAAAGTCCTTGCCACTGAACACTTAGCTTTAAATAAGCTTCCTAACGTGGGAGTGGGTGGGCCTGCAGTGGGACACGGGAATCGAGGAGGGGGAGAAAGGGCATTTCCGTGAAAGGGGCTGAGACGGAGCACCACCCAACGGGCTACGTGACTGTACCCAAACCTAGCACTGCCGTCATGTGTGCAAACATCCTGAGCACGTGCCTGTGAGTCATGTATGTGTCTTTGTGCATGTCCCTGCAAGTGGACACACTCATGAACACACGGTGTACACACAAGCATGCAAAAGTCTGTGAGGACGTGTCTGAGCGCTTCACACACACATGCACATACATGCACTGTGAACATGTGAGCATGGGTGTGCGTGTGTGCAGAGTGGGATGCCAAGGACAGAGACCCCCTGCTCTAAGATAACCTTCATCTCCTTACTCATCTGTTTCTGCTCAGAGCAAGGCGGTGTTATAAACAAACGAGGGTGTGGACCACACTTTCTGAGTCCTCTCCAGGAAGGCACCCAGTACTGTGGGTGGAGGCCCCGCCCCTGAGGTAGCCCAACAGCCAAGGTGATGGCAGGGGACTCTGCTGGTGTGTGGTCCCCATGTGGAATGGCCAGCTGACTCTGGGTCAATCACTACTTGTCATCAGCTAGCTGAGTGCACGTGGGACTTCCTAGAAGGACTTCAAATGCCATAGCAACAGAGGGGTTGGAGTCCTGAGAAACAGACTCTCCTGCCAGCCACCACAATCTAAGGGCCATCACGGGGGCGGAGCAGCCTAGAAACAACAGTGCAGAAGGGTCCTAGGAACATGATCAGGGGAGGGGGCGGGGAGACGGCATTGCTAGGGAGTCCTGTGGGTGGAGCTGCAGCTGCCTACATTAGAACCCAGCCTGTCTCTGCTGCCAGGAGATTCCTGAGTAAGACTGGACTAAGTCCTCAGACCCTCTGAGGACACGGTAATGGGCACCCTCCATTCTGAGTCTACCGAGATGCTGAACAGGTAGAAAGAGGAGGGAGCCCCAGCTGTCCACTTCCTCCACATCCCCGGGATGCTGAGCGTGGACGTGGGCCCGTCTCGCTGTGCACAGCTTGCAGCTCCAGCACGTTCACTCTAGCTCTGGGAGGGTCGGCAGCGGCAGTGAGTGGGGGGGTGCAAGTACTGACCGCTGGGTGGGTGGGGCCGAGGAGGAGCGGGCTTCTTCGGAGGCAGAGCAGGAGTGTCCTGTTTACTTTTAAAGGGGTCCTCTGAGAATCCTGCTCCTCCAAAGGAGGAGGCGAAGGGGTCAGAAGGTGGGGGCTGAAAGAGAGGACATGAGAGAGGCACGATCAGCACGCACGCACGCACGGGAGCGTGGACCCGGCCCACACTGCCCGCTCTCCTCTGCCCTCCACAACCAGGTGCAAACACACAGCCGTACAAAGCAGCCACAGACACGTTGAGACACACCAAGGCCAGGGTGTCATCTCCTGTGGCTCCCAGAACACTGTCTCAGACTCCCACCCACTCCCGGGTCTCTATGTGTTCCATGCAGACCGTCTGGGGGCCGTCTCCTGGCTGTGTGCTGTTCTGTGCAACACTGTCCAGACCCCCAGCAGCCCTTAGCTTCCCCACCTATAATGTGACCTAACACATTCACAAGCAAAGCGCTGGACTTAGGACTACCAAGTGCAGGATGCCAGAGCATCCACTGCCACCGGGGTCCTCACAGCAGTTCCAAGGGTGGGGACTTGGGGTTCAGGTTTGACAGAAGTGGCACTGTACTAGTTAGGAGAGGACGAGGAAGGGAACCAATGAGGCACAGGATACCCCTGCCATTTCCAGAACACTCACTGAAACACCCTAACCATGCCCTGACCCGCAGCACCAGGGGATATATAAAACAGCTTTCTCTGGATGCTGGGGAAGCCTGGCTCAGGTGGCAGAAAGGTGGGAGCTTCCTGGATGCATCTCCCTCCTGTGCCCTGGGAGATCCTCGGCATCTCTCTCCCAGCCCCTCAGTGTGCTCCACCCGACAGCGACAGCGAGGGCCAGGAGGGCTGGTCTGCCCTGAGCCTGACCGCAGACAGCACACCTGTAAACTCCAGTTCTGGGTTGGCAGACATCGCTCAGCTCCAAACTCATCAAAGGAGGGAGCTGTCAGCATGGGAGACCCCACGTGCTATCCCAACCACATCCCCACAAGACTGTCCACTGCCTGGTCACACCTAGTTCCCTGTCAAGGGAATGTATCCATGCTCTCAGTATGAAGCCCACATCACAGCTGAACCCTGAGTTTCATGACTTCAAATTCACCAAGACGTTTCCTTTGGGACACAACTCTTTCCTACTCGGCTTCAGCTTGGAGGAAAGGTGCCATTTTTAGAAGGATTTCCAGAAAACCCTTAGTGCCGTTCTGGGTCAGGCAGGAGTGACACCGGCGTTAGAAAAAGGCCAGAATGAAAGAAAAGCTGCTGGGAGAAGCAGCAGCCAGAGAGGCCAAGCTGAGTTCACATTTTAAAGAACTGGATTAAAGCCAATGACTCACAAGTTTTGTGTGTCTTTTTTCAAACAGCCCTAAATAAGAAGGTGTGGCTTTAAAAACAAGACAGAAAAGTCATTAAAAACAAGCAAACACCAACCATGCCAAGTACCTGATACTTTTCTGGGGGCGGTGGTGTTAGTGATATAACGTACTCTTGTTTTTATTCTCAAATGCTCCCTGGAATATATTTGAGGGACTCCCCCACTTTTTTTGGTACTAGACATACAGAAAGGCGCCCTGGTGGTGCGGCAGGATAAGCACTGGACTGCTAACCACAAAGGCAACAGTTCAAACCCCAGCCACTCTACGGGACAAAGACAAGGCTTTTTGCTCCTGCAAAGATTCACAGCTTCAGGACTCAATGGCACCTAACAACAACCAAAATTACAGACACCAAAACGCTTGCTAATTCAACAATGTTTGCATGTGCAATTCAGTGGCAATGAGGCGGTTCACCACATTATCCGATCATTCTCAGTGTCCATGTCCAAATGATTCCACCACCATTAGCAGATGCTCAATGGCCCGAAGCATAGGAAGCCCTGGCCCGCCCCTCGCAAACGCACCTGCCTATTCTAGATAGTTAAGGATTAAGACGTTATTCTAGATATTTAAGGATGCTTTCGAGCTTGCACTTTGTAACATGTATCAGGACTCCATTCCTTTCTATGGCCACTTGGCATTTCACTGTATAGATGGACCTCATTCTTATCCATCATCTGTGGATGGACACGAATGGTATTTCACTCTTCTGTGGTGAAAATATACACAACTAAATATATGCCAATTCAACAATTCCTACATGTATAATCAGTAGGGAATTTGAAAGAAAGCGAATGCACTCTAGCCTAGATAATATCTATTAAATTCTTTTGGGGGAAAACCCCAACTGAAATTGTTGGTGTAAACACCCTTCCAGAGGACACTGCTGGAATTGGCTTGCCAACGGCCACTCTCCTTCAGTCACACCACACAGAGGGCCTAAGAGCAGGGACAGGTCCCTCAGCCTGCCTCCCTGCCCCTACTTCCCCACCCGCTCAGATGGAGAGAGCCAGTGAGGTAAAAAAACAACCAAAAAAAGCCACCTTACTTTCGCTTCCTTCAGCATTTTATTTTTATCCACGATGTTGTTCTTGAAAAACATCTAACCCACAGGTAAAAATAAAGTAAGGCCCTACAAGGGCGGGCTGGTACCAAGCATGGGAGTGTCATGAGCTCAAGGCCAAGGGAACTGAGGACACACAATGCAGTTCCAGACGCACCCGCTCCCTGGCACCATCCAGCAAGGCCCAGCCTAGCACCTCAGATGAACGGGAGGAGGGTGGGGGGATGGTCTTCAGGTTGGGGAGGGCAGGACATGGCTCAGCACCATCTCCCTGGAGGGTCTCAGCAGCTGTGGGCAACAGCTAGGTCTGAGAGACCGGGAAGGGTGTGGAAGGGCATTCCCAGTGGTCCAGAGCTGAGCGACCTCCCCAAGGCTGGTCGTTGGCAGAGCACCTAGAGAGCCTCACTCTGTTCAACCCTTCTAGAAGCAGGATTCCTCACTCAGCTCTCAACCATAGCTGGGCATGTGGTGGGGGTAGGGAAGGGTGACAGGGAGTCACTGCAATCCCCACCTCTGTGCCCAGCTGAGGTTTCTGACAGCTTGGGACATTGGACCCCTTCCCGAGCGATTGCTGCCACCTTGTGGTGGACCCAAGTCAGGTACCAGCCCCGAATAGTTTTCTGATTTCTGGGGGCAACTTCCACCCACTCAGTTGGGGAGCTCCTGAGAGCAGAACTGGGGTAAGTAAATGGGCAATGTTCTGGGGACATCCACTCAAATGCCCTGCTTACTCCCCCCAAAGAAGCCAAGTTTAACAGCCACTAAGCAAGGTGTGGTGCTGTGGCTTAATGAGTTTGACTGCAAGGTCGGTTTGAACAGCAAGGTTCAAGCTCACCAGTCACTCTTTGGAAACCCTAAACAAGGTCAGTATGAGTTGGAACCAACTCAACAGCACTTAACAACAACAAGAAGCCAGGTGTGAGGCTGCAGGGTATGTACCGGGCCACTCCTCGGGAACCCTATCCAGGGTCGCTACAAGTTGGAACCAGCTCGATGGCACTAAACAACAAAGCAAGGTGCAGGTCTGCAGGACAGAAGTCAGAGGCCCCTCAATTACACGGACCACCCGTACCTACCAGGGGCTGGATGAGAAGGGCCTGTACGAGGAGGCAAGTGGAGAGCCCAGGACCTGGCCCAGGGCGCAGGGACACGAAAGTCACACTGCAAGAAAGGCACCCTAACAGGCAGCTGAGCCTCCATGCACACCCCATTCCTCACTTCCTAGCAGTGTCCTCTGGAATTTGCCTCATTAATCATGGGCTCCTTCTGGTCTGAATTTGTCCATGTTGAACAGCACCTACTGACGGGCTTCCTGCTCTCTGACTCCTTGAGTAATGAGACAGCCTGTTGGGGTCAGACCACGCAGATCCTATAACTTCAGATCCCATGGGAATAGCACACTCCGCCATCCTTCAGTCCTCTCTCCACACCCTGTCAGGCCTACTGCCACCTCACACCTCACCATCCTCAGTCACACGGCCTGAGTTCGGACACCAATGTCTCAGCTGCACTGCTCATGTCAAAGCCCACCAGGTACCTCCAAGAGCTTCAGGGGGAGCCATGGTGCCTTCACCCAGAACGGAATTCTGGCTCCAGCCCTTCCCCTCGGAGGAAGGGAAACAGATCCCCAAGGCCTGCTCCTCTCTGTCAAGTCACAAGATGAAGGAGGTACATGCAGGACATAGGTACATAAGTGACAGTCAGTGGCACCAGGCAACCCACACAGTGACAAGAGGCATGGGGTGCCACAAGGACTTTACCTTGGACATCTGGCTGAAGTCAGCAAAGCCCTCAGCACTATTGAAGGACCCACTGCCGAAGGGGTCTAAGGTTCCAAAGGGATCTGCAAGTGGCACAAAGAAAGTCAGAGTTACAGGTCTTCGACAGGACACAGTCTCGGGGACGACACCCCCTAGGACCAGCCCACTGCTCTGAGGCTGTTCAGATCGGACGTGCCAGTGATGTGTGTGAGTGAATGGTCTCAACAAGGCTCCGCCCATGGAGCTCCTTGACAACAATCTCACCCCATGGGGCTTCTCACCAAGGGCCTTGCTCTGTCCCTGCCCATGGTCCACCTATCTCCATGAGATGCTTTCTGGCCAAGACAGCCAGCTCCAATCAGAGAGCCTGCTGGGCCAGGCAGCTCCCACTCACATGACCCCCCTTCTAATAAGTCTTATCTTGTAAGATGAGGCTCCTTCACACAGTACCCAGCACCCAAATCAGCACCCTTAATCAAACTTAGATTCTTTTAGGAAAAAAACTTAAGACACAAGCCAGTGATTTCTAGAGAAGAGCTAACAACGTCAGGGCTAGGATTGAATCCCTACTGCCGGATACCCTCCCTGCTCAGCCTGGGGGTTACTGACTAAAGAATGATATGAGCACTGAACACCAGTTTGGGAAAGGAAAGCGCTAACTGGGGGTGGGGGTGGGGGGGTGTCCTTCACTGTCCATGGAAGAATCAGAAAGAAAATATACATCCTTCTCACCTGATCCTTTTGAGGAGATGCTGGAGGATGAGAAAGGATCACTGGACTCAAAGGGGTCGAGCTGAGTGGAAGGAGAGAGGAGAGAATCAAAAGTGGCTCATTTGCTCCACCCTTCATTCATTCATGCACACACATCTCCTGACAAGCAGGAACACAGCCAGGGCCAGGCTGCGGGGAGAGAACGTGTCTAAATCAAGCCCTGGAGATGTGCTCTCAGTACAATATGGTGGACTCCCCACAGACCAACTCTCCTGCAGGTAACACCGTCACTCTCTGGACAAAACATGAAAGCAGCTAACTGAAGGTTCGGGAAGTGAACCAGAGTAAGCAGGGAGATGTTGGAGAAGAACTGGGACTTGGCCAAAGAGATCAGCACAAGGAAAGTTTTCTGCCCTGGTGGCTAGAATCTGAGAGAAGACAGCAGTTACAACCCCAATAGGACAGGCACCATTTTCCTGGTCTTAGGTCTGAGGCCAGAGAAAGGAATGCCTGGACAGTTCCTACTGTGGAAAAGTGAATGGACATCAGAAAGGAGAGAGGCCCAGATGGGAGTCCTGAATTCCATTCTAGTCCCACTCTCAGGCTGACTTGCAGTTAAGGCTAAAAGAACTAAACTGAGATCTGAACTTCTGCCCACTGCAGGAGAGACAGGGTGCAGTGCAAACCTAAGTTTATGGCCAACTCAAACAGAACATCAACACTCTTGGGAGGAGAATCCAGTCTTGTTACTGCAGCACGCCTTTCATAATGCATACGAGTAATTCTAAATCAGTCAACATAAAAGAACCAGAAAAACGTGGGCCCTGACTGAGGAAGAAAGGAGCTCTGGTGGCACAGCAGTTAAAGTCTGGCTGCGAAGCAAAAGGGCAGCAGTTTGAATCTACCAACTGCTCCAGGGGAGAAAACTCTGGTCGTCTGCTCTCATACAGATTTACAGCCTCGGAAACCATATGGGGCAGTTCTACTCTGTCCCATGAGTCGGAATTGACTAGACAACAGTGGGTTTGATTTGGGTATCAAGCGAAAGAATGGAGTCCTGGTGTGGCACTGCAGGGTGATGCACTGAACCACAAAGTCAGCGGTTCAAACCCACCAGCTGCTCCTCGGAAACCCTATACAGGGTTCCTATGAGTCGGAATCGACTCGACAGTACTTAGCAACTATAGCAGGGAAGAATGGTTAACTGCTTGGATATTAACTGGAGGTCCACGGTTCAAACCTCCCAGTGACTTGACAGGAGAAAAGGCCTAGTGATCGGGTCTCATAAAGTCTACAGCTAAGGAACGTCCCACGGAGCAGCTCTGCTCTGTCATATAGGGATGCTATTAATTAGTATCAACTTGACAGTACACAGGAAGACCATCAAGGGAAAAGACAGTTAATGGAGCCAATCCCAAGATGATTCAAATGACGAAATGAAGGAAAATACACTAACAATGAAAGAAAAGACAGGTTACAGCTGAGAAACCGAAATTATAAAAAACATGCAGTTGAAAAGTGTAATATATATTGGGTTAATTTTACTGGGTTAACTAACAGTGTAAACTTGACCAGGTTAACTAAACAGCAGAATGGCGACAACAGAGAAAAGAGTAAGTGAATTTCATGGCACATCAGCAGAAACTGACCAATATAAAAAAAAAGAGGAAAGAAAATGGAGCCTCAGGGACTGTGACACAACATTAGCAAGTGTAACGTAAGCGTAATAAAAGCTTCAAAAAGAAGAGAGAAAGAGGACAGGGCAGAAAAAACATTTGCAGAAATAATGGCTGTGTGCTGGTGGCCAGGAGGCAGGCTTGCAGAATGTGCCCTTTGGTTGTTTAAATGATTATATATTCTTGAGTGTTTTTGTGTACATCTAAAAGGAAAACAGAAGAAAATACAGTTGAATGGTGATGCACGGAGGAGACTGCAATCATGGCAATGAAACAATGAGTGTAAAACCGATGTTCTCCCATGTAAAGTATTACTCAATTCACAATAAAAACTTCAAAAAGCAAAAAAACCCTAAGTTAAAAAAAGAGATTTGATGTTGATGTGCAAACTGCCAATGCATTAGACTACCAAGACCATGTTGGAAGATGTGGGAATGGATGAAGATGGAGATGATGGCCCAGTTCCTCTATCAAATGCTAATGCGGCAATATCATAAAAGTCATTTCATAGTACACCCACCACAAGAGTGAGCCCCTTCCTCCTGAGGATGATGAAAACAAAGAAAAGAGACTACCCATATCATAGTACACCCACAAGAGTGAGCCTCTGCCTCCTGAGGATGATGAAAACAAAGAAAAGAGACTACCCCTCTGTTTGGGAAAAGAACTTCTGAAAGTTGACCAGGGAACAATTTTTGAATTTACTCTGGCTCTACACTACTTAGACATCAATGTTTTGCTTGATGTTACATGAAAGACTGTTGCTAACATGGTCATGGAGAAAACGCCTAAGAAGATTTGCAAGACTTTCAACATCAAAAATGACTTATTGAAGAGGAGGAAGCCCAGGTGTGCAGAGAACCAATGGTGTGAAGCCAAGTGAGAAGTTGTGCCTGACGCTGTAAACACTGTTAAGGTATGATTTCAAATGCAAGTTGCACTGCTCTGCTTTTAACTGTTAATATTAGACAAACAGCAGACAAATGCAGCAGCAAACCCATGGAGTTAGCAGAGTACTGTCCTCATTACCTGTGTAGTTTCCAAAACTTACAGCTGAATTTCTTCTAGTGTGACCAAAAGTGTTGTTTTTTCTTTGCTCTGAATAAAACTGAACTTTGGGTTCTTTATAAAAAAACAAAAAACAAAAGAAGACTAGAAAAGAACACACAGAATCACTGTACCAACAAGAATTGGTGGATTTCAATCATTTCAAGAGGCTTATTGTTGTTGTTTGTAGTCAGCAGTTCAAGCTTACCAGCTGCTCCTCAGAAACCCTATACAGGGTCACTATGGGTCAGAACCGACTTGACGGCACTTAGCAACAACAACAATTGTTGTTAAGTGCCACTGAGTGGATTCCGACTCATACCAATTCTGAATCCAAGACAAAGTTGGTGGATTTGAAATGCTGACCTCACAGTTAATAGTCCACTGTTTATCCTACAGCAACATGCCAGGATTCCTAATAACTATTTACTGAGTGATTATTTACGTGGGGCCCTTTTATAGTCAGAATAGATAACTGATGGCACTGAGGTAATACACAGAGCCACTCAACCAAAATGAAACGGTCAATGTTCAACCATTTCAAAAGATAGAGCTGTGATCAAGAACCAATGGTACTGAAGGAAGAAGACCATGGTTCACTGAAGGCACTGACAAAAAACAAGGTTCCAGAAATTAATGGAATACAAATTGAAATCTTTCAACAAATGGATGCCATATTGAAGGCACTTACTTGTGCATATCAAGAAATCTTGAAGACAGCTACCTGGCCAACCAATTGGAAGAGATCCACATCTGTGTCTATTTCAAAGAGAGGTGACCCATCGGAATGCAGAAATCATTGAACAATATCAATACCACACACGAGTAAAATTTTGTTAGAGATAATTAAAAAATGGTTGCAAAAGTACAACAACAGGGAATTACCAGAGATTCAAACCGGATTCAAAAGAGAACACGGAACTACAGATATCATTACTGACATCAGATGGATCTTGACTAAAAACAAAAAATACCAGAAAGATGGTTTTACTTGTGCTCTACTGAGAAAGCACAAAGGCTTCTGACTATGTGGATCATGACAAATGATGGTTGCAGAACACTTAACTATACTCAGCGACCAAGATGGAGTCATTAGAACTGAACAAAGGGATATGGAATGGTTTAAAATCAGGACAGGTGTGTGTCAGGGTGGTATCCTTTCACCAAACTCCTTCAATCTGTATACTGCGCAAACAATCCAAGAAGCTGGATTATATGAAGAAGAACAGAAGAACGCTGCATCAGGATTGGAGGAAGACTTATTAACAACCTGCAATATGCAAATGATACAACGTTGCTTGTTGGAAGTAAAGAGGACTTAAAATACTCACTGATGAAGATCAATACGGATTGTACCTCAATGGGAAGAAAACAAAAATACTCATAAATGGACCAATAAATAACATCACGGAGAAAAGTCTGAAGTTGTCAAAGACTTCACTTTGTTTGGATCCACAATCAACCCTCATGGAAGCAGCAGTCAAGAAATCAAACGATGTATTATTGCGTTGGTCAAACCCGTGGCAAAGAACTTCTTTAAAGCATTTAAGGGCAAAAATGTCATTTTGAGGACTAAGATGATACATGGTATTTTCAATCACATCACATGCATGTGAAGAGTCATGGTATGGTGTTGTAGGATACACACTGGACTGCTAACTGCAAGGTTGGTGGTTTAAACTCACCAGTCACACTTTAGAAACCCTATACAGGGTCACTATGAGTGGGATTTGACTTGATGGCACTTAACAACAACAATATGCATATGAAAGTTGGAAGGAAGACTGGAGAAGAATTAAATAAGGAAGACTGGAGAAGAATAGATGCATTTGAGTTATGGTGATGGAGAAGAATATTAAAAGTCCCATGGACTGCCAGAAGAACAAACAAATCTGTCTTGGAAGAAGTACAGCTAGAATGCTCCTTAGAAGACAGGATGGTGAGCTTTCATATCTTATACTTTGGACATGGTATCAGGAGGGACCAGTCCCTGGAGAAGGTCATCGTGTTTGGTAAAATGGAGGGTAAGAGAAAAAGAGGAAAGCCCCCCACAAAGAGATAAACTGACACAGTGACAGCACCAAGGGGCTCAAAAGTAACAATTATGAGGCTGGCACAGGATCTGGCAGGGCTTTGCTCTATTGTACTAACTCAACAATACCAACGAACAACAACATCACGCATAAGGACAAAGTGACTATTTTAATACATGACCAAAAAGGTTTCAACACAACAATATTACCAAAGATAAAAGGGAGCAGCCTTTTATTGCTAAAAAGGTCACCTTACCAGGAAGACACACAATTGCAAACAGTATACACCTAACAGAGCTTCAAAATACAGGAAGTGAAGCCTGACG